TTCTTTTTATGTTTATTGAGATAATATTTTAATATAGTAATAGTTGAGTATATCTTGATTTTTTTGTTTGTTTTATTAATCCTCACCCAAGGATATTTTTTCCATTGATTTTTAGAATGGAAGAGAGGAAGGGAAGGAATGGGAGGAGGAGAGAGAAACACTAATGTGAGAGAAACATTGGTCCTGACTGGGGTGGGATTAAACTGCAACCTAGGTATGGGCCCTTGATCGGCAATCTAATCCACAACCCTTTGGTGCTCAGGCCAACGTTCTAACCACTGAGCATACCGTCCAGGGCTGAGTATATCTTGATTTTTCTTTAAAATACGTAATTATTAAGGTAGCACATGATGTAGCCAGTGCTGGTTTTATTTTTTTTATTTTTATTTTTTAAAAATATATTTTATTGATTTTTTACAGAGAGGAAGGGAGAGCGATAGAGAGAAACATCGATGAGAGAGATACATCGATCAGCTGCCTCCAGCACACCTCCTACTGGGGATGTGCCCGCAACCCAGGTACATGCCCTTGACCGGAATCGAACCTGGGACCTTTCAGTCCGCAGGCCGACGCTCTATCCACTGAGCCAAACCGGTTTCTTATTAATAAAATATATTCCTTGCATAGATGCAAGGATATACATATAGTCTGTCCTTTACATTTAATCTATTCTGATTCAACATTAAATTTTACATTCTAAAAACAAAAAGACAAATAAATGAAAAATTTTATTTACAGAAATATACAGCTTCTGAAACTACAGTTTTCCATTGAGGGTACTTTTGGATCCTAAGGACAGGTGTACCCCTCAGAAAGGCACTGAAGACCAGAGAGAAAAGAATTTAAACACCAGAAATTTATCTTTTTCTCACATCTGCTCTTTTCTGCTCTCCCTGTAAGGCTCCCTCTACTCCTGAAATCACAGTGCAAATGGAATTTGGGCACTCTTTTGCCATAATTGACTTGCATGTTCAAGAGACCAGCCCAAAATGATCTAGAACAGCGGTTCTCAACCTTTCACAGGGGTCGCCTAAGACCACTGGAAAACACATATATAATTACATATTGTTTTTGTGATTAATCACTATGCTTTAATTATGTTCAATGTGTAACAATGAAATTGGAGGTCACCACAACATGAGGAACTGTATTAAAGGGTCGCAGCATTAGGAAGGTTGAGAACCACTGATCTAGAACCTATAAGTTGATATTTTCACTGATAGTTCATTAGTCCTACCTGTGAAAATGTCTACTTCCTCCTTGTCCATCAGTGACCAAAGGAAAAGGATGACCTATGCATGATCAGAGCATTCTGGAAACATAGCTTAACAGAGGTTTATTACCTCCCGATGTTGTAATAATATTTTCAATACATAACAGAAACCCTATGTAAATAAGCAACTAGATGAACCCCACTTATAAAGCCTAAAAATGTGTGAAAAATAACATAAACAGAACCACATAAAAATAAAATTGGAGCTACGACTGGAGGAACTGCCTTGCATGCCTTACTCCCCAAACCTTTGGAATGTTAGAACAGTCCAAAATAACCTTTGGACTGGGTCAAACCACCACTGTATTCCAAACAAGTTGGTTAAACTAACAGACGTGCCATCGTAGTTCTTGGGTTCCAAAATCACCCCGATCAGAACTGGACACTCCCTAGAACGTTCATTCCCAGAAACATGCTTTTTGGCCTTTGTTCTTTGTACACTCGTTACCCTCTGCCTAGACACTCCTTCTCCTGAGTTGTTAACTCCTGCTCAACGCTCAGGTCTCTCTTTTTCTTATATTAAAAGAAGTAATTTCCTCTGCAAGCCTGCCAAATCTGATAGAACTCCTAAATTTTGATTACATAGCCCTTCTGCTTCTCCACGTGATCTCATAGTAGCCTGTACTTAACCTGAAGACCTGGCCGAGTGCCTAGCTGCACATAGGTGACCAGTAAAGAGCTGTAGAATGGAGTAACTCAGACCCTTTTCTAGAGTCACCAGGAACAATACGAGGCATCCCTCCTTTCTTCACCTCAGTATTAATGATACCCATAGAGTTTCTCTTAACAATTATGGTTTATCATGCCACCAGGCCCCTGGGAGGCTATTCTCAGGTGCAGAGCTGGGAATCGGCTGCACTCAAGCTGTGAGTCCCTGCACTAAGCCTTCTTGCCAGTAGGTGGCAACTGAAGCCTGAAAGCTGAACACTGTCTCTGCTCCCTCCCTTTTCTGAGCCGCTTGGAGAGGATGCTCTGGTGGGGATCTGGCTCTTGGCTCCCAGGCTGCTGTTCCTTCTTGCCTGTGTGGAAGCAGCCATTGCCTAGACTTCTCCTTTGTCTTAGATTCTAATTTGGTTCAAGTGCATATGTTCCAACTAGAGTTAAAAACTAGGCGGGCACTGAAAGCTATTAAAATGATTTTTTAAGAGCATGCATGTTCTTAGTAACTCTCCATATTCTCCCTGCGTGTCCTTGTGGATGATGCTGAGTTCCAGGTCAAGGAAGTAGCCTGGGTCCCCTCTGAGTTCCCGAAGCCTAAGGGCTTGAACTGGAGAAAATTACTTTTGTTTTTTTAAAAAGTAGAGAACAACAACAGAAGTAGAGAATGGCTGTGGGTGTGTGGGAGGAACTTACTGAGGCACTGCTAGTATCACGTTAACATCGTCCCAGAGTTATTTTTAAATTAGCTTTGAGGCTGTTTGTTTGATCATGTTACTGCTCTGGGTCTGAACTTGTGGTGACCGTCTCACAAGAATGACATTGAATTGCAGCGGTGCTGCTGTGTGTGGGCAAGTGATCCTTGGGAGGCAAAGGAGAGGCTACCAGTCTTCTCTGGTAGAGGATGAAAGACGGTTTCTTAAGGAGGGACAGTTTGAGCTGCCTTGGAGGAGGGGAGGTCTATTCTGTCTAGGTGGAAGAAACAGTTTGAATAAAAAGAGAAGCACAAATCAGCCTTTTGTATTTCCAAATGCATCTAGCCTACCCCCAAATTCTGCCTAAAATCCTCTCAGCCTATTCATGCCACCTGGCCCAAGGCCTTCCTGGGAACCCTAGCCTCTTCTGGGTGACTTAGCTTGTACCTCTCACCTGCACATCTACCCTCTTGTGCCCGTGTGGCCGCTGTCTCCTTGAGCACCCGGACCTCCTCTGCTTCCTCAGGCACTGCAAGGAGTTCAGCTGGAATTCCTTGTACCTGGGATAGGTGCCCTCGACGGGGGTTTCAATAAATTACAGGTGAGATCCTTATCCTCGCCTGCTATGCTCTAGCTTTCAGCTTCGGTGAACCAGGCCAATCAGCAGATCTCTTCTCGTAGGCCCTACGACGTAGGGGAATGAATGTCCCAGGAAGTGTGTGTATTCAACTTCTCTTCCAGGCTGGAACAGCAAGGACCTGGGAAAAGAGTGATTTGGGATACTGGGACAATTTTAAGAAAAGCTCACATTTTGCTGATGCCTCAGCCCTGGCCAATGAGCAAGGCAAAGGCTACATGTGGGTACCAGGAACACATGCCCCAGGAAAGGAAAGAGTGGGAGACATGAAGTAGATGAGTGGCGAACTCCTTGGAGAGAGAAATTAATCTGCTCCCAGAAAGGATGTTAGGCTGAGGCTGTTAAATTGCTCTGAGAAAATGCTTGGGTTGGGACTATCCTTGTGGAGCCACAGGCGCAGACCCAGGCTCTCTTCGGCCTGATAAGCCCTCCCTACCAACTTCCAGGCCTTGGTGTGGTGCTTCTGTGACACTGGACTCGAAACACTGTCATGCCAGAAGGCACTAGCTGGAGGTTCTGTAGGAGAACTGAAGGAGAGGCTTTTAGACCTGGAAGAAACCTCAGAGCCCATCGAGCTCACCCCTGTCATTTCACAGTGGAAGGAAACAGATGGAAAATTATTTGCTTCCTCAAGGCCACACTGAGTCGGTGGCAGAGTTGAGTCCATATAAAACACTGGTTGCTATGGTTCTTAAAACTTTGGTCGTACCAGATTTCTCATATACTCCACCACCCCATCTTAGTTCCTTATTGTGGGGTATGAGTAATCAAGGACTCTGTACACTTGCCCAGGATGAAAAGCTGTCCAAACTATGCTGGAACAATGCCACTGTGCTAGGCAGTTAGACAAACAGAGCAAGGACGATAGGCCAGGTACAGAGGGTCACCAGGGTGGAATGGGCAAAACTGGGAAAACAAGGACTTCACCCCCACAGGAACCTTTCCTCCCCTAGCACATTGCTGGTCATGTGAGTTAGACCCCCTTAGAGGGGGAATGAACAGGGGGCTGGAGAACAGCCCTGAAGCATGAAGCCCTCAAGACAGTGAGGTTCTGACCTGCATCATATACATTAAGGCCTCAGTTGTGTTTCAGCTCCAGGCCCAGAAAAGCAGCAAAACTAGACAAGCAACCATGGCTGATGTCAGGACCAGCTGTATTGATTAACCCTTGCCCTGATGCTGACCAATCAGTGAAGACCATGGCCCTGAAAGGACACACCTGAAAAGCTGATGAATATTCTACTGAGATCTTCCCCTGGGACCTCCCCTAAAACCCCCACCCTTACCACCTTTAGGACAGCCGACACTCTCTGTGGAGCGCCTGAGCCTGAGCCTTTCCCCACCCCTTACTCCATGTGTCTTCCTTGCCTCTCTCCTAACTTCCAAGGCCCTTCTTTTGCTTCTGTAACTTGTTTCCTGAGCCCATTCTTTTACGGCTCACTCCTACCTCTGTGACTTTCTAAATAAATGTTCTCTTAAAAGTTTGAGTCTTGGCTCTGCACTCTTTTTCAGCTAGAACTCAAGTACCGAGGTTGCTGAACCGAGGTCTAATACCTGGTGCCGTTTTCAGCACTGACACCACCACTAACCTCCAAATGCCCCCACCTCTTGTTTGTGCCTAAAGTTGCCTTTAACAGGAAGAACCAGACTGTGGTAGAAAGAACGCAGGATCTCAAACCCAGTTGTGAAGTGAAATGAAAGGGCCCCAGAGGGTCCTAAAATAAAGGAGACAACAGCCTTTGGAGGGTTTGTCGCAAACTTATTATTGAAGTGCGGAGGGCAGAGGGGTTCCGAGCAGGCCTCAGCTTCAGAGGCAGTCCTGGAGGAGGAATGGCACCTGCAGGGAACATGAACTCAGTCACTGCTGCTCACTACACAGGGTTGCGGTGGAGTCTTCTTACGGAGCCTGAGAGCAAAAGAAGGGAGACCCAGCAAGCAGCTGCTTTAGATTCCACATTTGCTGCATTCCCACTGCGACATCACCTCCTGGGAGCAGGCCTCAGAGCCAAGCTGGGGACGGGCACAGACCCTTCTCTGGCCCTGGCTGCTGCCAGCTCAGGGCGGCCCAGGCATCCTCACTATCTTCATCACAGACTTCCTTTTGCTGCCAGAGGTTTTCCCAATTTGTAGCTTAAAAGCACCAGCAGGAGAAAAAGCAAGGAATGTTCTTGTTAATATAAATCCACAGCAAGAACGAGTTGAGAACTGGGTGTTTTCCAGGGTTGGTGGATATCTGTGAATGTCCACGCGTTCTTTATGCTTGGATGGGTAGTGCTGTTGAAGGTGCTAAACGTCTGAGTGTTTAGAACGACTTCATGTTTTTGAGAACCAATGGGGAGAGTCACTGGGCCGAATCAGAGCCTAGAATCAGGGGAAGGACGGAGAGGGGAAACGGGTTGAATCCTGAGATCATTCCCAAAGGAAGGCAGCACTACTTCCAGCAGCAGCAGCAGGAAGGCCCGTGCCAAGGCTCTGCTTGAGCGGCAGGGTAGTGGGGTAAGGAGGTGGCCCCCTCTTGCTGTTTTGGGTTACTGCTTGGGCAAAGCGAAGTCCCAGGCAGTATCCTGTGCACATTTCCACATCGCCTGCACCAGGCGGGTGAAGCCCATGTCTTTGGGCTTCTCCAGGCCTCTCATCAACCGTTGCTTCATGATGGAAACAAATTCCTTGTTGCTCAGCTCCCCGTTGCCTAGAGTAAGAGGCAAACATGACAAGGGTAAGAGGAGGCCTCAGAACGAAGACAGAAAATTCCATTGTTCACACAATGTGAGTTGTAAAGTCCAGTGCTCTCTCACAGCCAAATTCAATTCTCTTGACCTGAAATGAACTGGTTTGTTCTTGATCTTTCTGGCTGCATGCAACTCTGACAGGTTAGTGTGACAAAAGTTAAACGAGAATATATTCTATGTCAGGTCCTGTGCTAAGTGTTGTGAATAAGGAGACAAACCTTTGTCCCTTGAAATACAGGTTGTGGGAGAGACAAACACATGATCTCAACAGTGTGGTAAATGCCATAATGGGGTAAAGGATGCTCTAGGGGTGCAGAGGGAGACTCTCTAACCGAAGCTGGAGGTGGTACAACTACAGGTCAGCAAAGCTTTCCTGGAGGAGACTCTTAAGTTGAATCCCAAAGGACTAACAGGAATTGGCCAAGTAAAGGAGAGTGAGATGGAAAGCATTCCAAGTAGTTGTAGTAGCATTAGCAAAGGCACAGCAGGGAGCAGCAGGCTGACGGAGCTACTGGTAGGTATTGCTGGACTCACAGGGGTGGGGTGGGGGCATGGCAAGTAAACTAAAGAGGCAGGCAGGAGGCAGGTCCCCAAGGATCTTGTATTTTCATGAAAGGGTTTGCACTTTATCTTCTGGGTGGTAGAGCGCCAGGAAAGGACTGGACGCAGGGGAGTGGAGTGCAGTTAGATTTCCATTTGGAGAGATTTTCTGGCTGAATATATGGGGATGGGACCAGAGAGCGGCACAGCTGGAGTATGGGGGTCATTTAGGAGATTGTTACAATGGTCAGGTGAGAGATGAGGGTTGTTCATGGTGAAAACCAAAATCACTACCTGGCTTTGGGTTGAGCCCATTTTCTCAAGGATTCCCGTCCACCCTCCCCCGGGGCAGATGCTCAGGTCTGCAAGGAACTTGGAGAGCATCTGCTTTCACCAAAGGTCCCCTCTCAGTCACACGGAACAGTGACCACTCCAGCAGCAGGAGGCAGTTCCTTGACTAGAGGCCCAGGACTCACTGCCTCACTGGGGGTGATGAGGCAACAGGAAGCCAGCAAACAGACCTCCACTAATGACCGGTCTGGGGGAGAGTGCAGAGAGGGACTAAATGGGTTACTTTTGTACAGAGACCTGAAAACCGGAACAGCCTGTTTTCTGGCTGAAGAGAGCATGGGCAACCACAGAGATACCCCGGGGATACCTCACAGCACGATTAAACAAACAAAAGCAGGCAAACTAGTCCATGGTGCTGTAAGTCAGGAGAGTGGCTGCCCCTGGGAGTGGAAGGGAGTGGAAGTGACCGGAAGGCAGCAGCAGGGGGCCTCTGTGGTCCAGGTAATGTGATGTTTCTGGACAACGGTGGTTACACAGGTATGTTCAGCTTTTAAAAATTCATCAATCTGCCCGGCAGGCATGGCTCAGTGGTTGAGCATCAATCTATGAACCAGATGGTCATGATTTGATTCCAGGTCAGGACATATGCCCGGGTTTCAGGCTCCATCTCCAGTAGGGGGTGTGCAGGAGGCAGCTGATGAATGATTTTCTTTCAACATTGATGTTTTTTAAATCTCTCCCTCTCCTTTCCTTTCTGAAATCAATAAAAATGTATTTTAAAAATTCATCACTCTGTACACTTATATTTACACTTTTATGTATGTATATTTCAATATTAAAAGTAGCCTTGCTGGGCTAAGCAATCAATAATATGGCTTACTAAATGTAATTAAAAGAGCAAAAATTCTAAACAAGATTCTTAATATTTTGTATGTAAAATGAAACTTCAGATGAAAAAATCTGAGGCCATTTCATTCAAACTACTGTGGGATTTGTTTCCTGCTTCCCTAAGGCCAGAGCTGACTAGTCTGGATGGCTCTAGGGGTATGACTGTGTGTGTGTGTGTGTGTGAGTGAGACCTGTGAGTGCAACTCAAAATTCTTTGCTGAACTTGAACAAGTCCTCTGACATTTTGACCTAAGACCTTGCACTGGTAGAAATAACAATGTCTTTTTATTCTTATTTTTCTAATACAGTAATATTGGTAATCAATATTATTTTATATTAGTTTCAAGTGTATAGCATACTGGTTAGACAATTATATAATTTACAAAGCAATTCCCTTATAATGCTAGTACCCACCTGGCACCATACATAGTTATTACAATATTATTGACTGTATTCCCTATGCTGTATAATTCCTCCTCAAGCCTATTTTGTAACTACCAATTTGTAATGATAATGGCTTTTAAATTTAATATATACTTCCTTTTTCTGTAGATTAAGAAAATAAACCCCAGAGATGTTAAATGATTTTCTAAAGGTGACTCAAGTAGATATTGGCAGAGCCTGCTTCTAAAAGGCTGGAAATCAAATGTAATTTCCCAGGCCCTCCTAGGAGTAGAGAACTGTGAGGCTGGTTGCCTTTATTCTCTGATTCAGCTCACAGACCAGCTCTAGGATATCGGCTTCAAAAAATTATAAAAATTATAAAAGTAAATGTTTCTTAAAAAAACAACAAACCACTTGAATGTGATTAGAGTAAAAATACCTGGGGATGAGCCCTGGCCTGTTATGGCTCAGTTGGGTGGAGCATTATCCTGTACACCAAAAGCTGATGGGTTCGATTCCTGGTCAGGGCACATACCAGATTGTGGGCTCGAGGGCACATGTGTGAGGTAACCAATGTTTCTGTTTCTCTATTTCTCTCTCTCAAAAAATAAATTAAAAAAATCTTTGGAGCCCTAACTGGTTTGGCTCAGAGGACAGAGTGTCAGTCTACAGACTGAAGGGTCCCAGGTTCGATTCCAGTCAAGGGCACATGCCTGGATTGCGGGCTCGATCCCCAGTAGGGGGCACGCAGGAGGCAGCCAATCGATGATTCTCTCTCATCATTGATGTTTCTATCTCTCTCTCCCTCTTCCTATCTCTGAAATCAATAAAAGTATATTTTAAAAAATCTTTGGGCAGTTAATCTCTCTACAGTAATGGTATTCACTAGAACTCTCTTCAATGAGGGAAATGTTTTTTTAAATCGGTGCTATTCAATACAGTAGCCACTGGCCACATATGGCTACTGAGCACTTAAAATGTAGCTAACGAGACCAAAGAACTGAGTTTTAGAGTGTATTCAATTTTAATTAATTTACATTAAAATAGCCATATGTAACTAGTGGTATCATACTGGACAGGGCAGCCTAGAGGATGGGGCCATTTCCTTGTCCTAGCCCTGGGACTTCCTTTGACTCAGACCTCAGTTGTGATAGCAGGTAGTAGATTTAAATAACTTGAGCTCAACTTAATAACAAATAAGTTAACGAGATTATGTGTAAAGTACTATCTGAAGTCCTGTATGTGTGGGGTTTCTAAAGGTGAACAGGACTTGTAACTAACCTTAAAAGTTCACAATTTAGTAGAGAAGCAAGGCCACATATACAGAGATAGAGTGTAACATGTAGTAGTGTGGATAAATTGACTCAAGTTAAAGAATGAAAAAAAATTCATTTTGCTGGGATCAAAACAGAAGATTTCACATAGGCAGATGCTTCTGGGATGGTTCTTGAATTCCCGTAGCCTTGCTTCCTGAAGGAAGATGAACAATGAACCTTGGCTGGGAGACAAGCAATGGAGGTGGGACAAGCAATGGAGTCGAGACAAGCAATGGAGGTGAGACAGCATAGAGGGTGGCATCACTGAGCTCTGATTCGGACCCTGGTTTTGCTGTCTACTATTACCTTTGTGATTCTGGGAAAATTACTCAACCTATCTGAGTCTCTCAGCTTCCGGGTCTGTAAATGTGGTTAGTAACAATCCAGTGTCAGAGGATTAAATGAGCAGCTTAGCACAGAAAGCACTGATAAAAGTGTGAGCCTCCGTTGTGAATATTAGTATCATTATGTAGTCAGCTAACAGAGCTGAGAAATAATGCTAGAGCAGAAGCGGGATCTCTCACAGGGCTTCCTACAGAGTGGTCACAGACACCCAGATGGCTGCAAGCTGGGTGCCACGATGGAGTGTGGATGACCGAAATGCGCCCTGGGAGGAGGAGACGCAGCAGCATCTTCCTAGACATTTAGGTCCTCGAGTGCTCCCAATCTACTAAGCAGCAAGCTGGGTCCAATATTTTTGTTTCTATTTTTTTTAAGCTTTTATATCTGAGTTTTTGTTTATTTAACTTTGAAACACTTCTATAGTTGAATTGTTTCCATTTTTAAGGTCCTTGTGGTCATCATTAATTGAGAACTATAGGCAAATGGAAATTACGGGAAGAACTGGAAAACACAAATCAGGACGGGGGGTTATATTTCTCAATGTCATGATGCTGAGGGCTGAACTATCGATGTGGGGAAGGGGTAGGCTAAAGAGGTGTGGGCTACTACGTGCAGCTGTCTGCAAGGCTCCATTCCAAACAGTGTCCCTCCAAGGGCAGTAGGCTGAGTCCTCCCGCCTGACTCCAGAGGGCCCCACTCACCATCACAGTCAAAGAGCGCAAACACCACGTCACACACATGGTCTGAGAGCTCCACTTTAGCCACTGTCCTGGCCACCTGCTGCATGGTCACTGGAGAAGAAAGGAAGATGCGAAATTAGCATAGCAGAGGGACTTGCATTTTGCTTTCTCTAAATGTGGTGGATAAAACTACTCAATCATAATAAAGTGTTTTCAACTGTAGTTAAGAAAATGATAATTTAGTGTTTAATCCATAACCCACTGGAAAGAACATGATAACAAAAGTAAATACCCGGTAGCAAAAGGAAGGGGAGGTGGGAAATGGGGAGGCTCCCCTCAGTAACTAAGGCTTCACCCTTCAGTTACTGATTGACAGTAAGTACCTGCATGGATGAGCTTCTGGCTCCTCCTCCGTACAGGTTTTCCACCTGCCGCCTTGTCCTTTCTAACTCAGCCCCTAGGGATAAGGGGCGGCCTGTCTCACTAGTTCAGGATGTAGCCTTTTTTGTTTGTCTTTTTCCGACCTCCAGAGAATCTTTTCTCTCATGCCAATTTCTCTTTTTCTGACATTTACTGTTAAACGCTAGCAATCATGTGAGAAGTGTGTTCTCATGGAAATAAGCCAGGAAGGACTAGGCAGTTTCCACTGCCTTTTACCCCATTTATCGTGATCTACCTACATCTATAAATTTTATATCTGCATTAACGATGCTATTGCTTCTAGACACACTCTTACGTGAGGTAAAGCATGGAGGAAAGGAAACAATTAGTTTATACTTACCCAGAAGCAATGTGAACTTAAACTAGAGTCGTGTGCCTTCTCTGCCTATGTAATCCCTGTAACTTCAGTTCTTTCTTGTCATTTTTTTCCTACATTTGGTCTTTCACTTCACCTCTGTCACCTCCACATATTCAGTGCCGATACAAATGCCAGAGCAATGCAGAGGAGCGGGGTGATGCAGTAGGAAGGCTGGGCTTAAGTTACAAGACCTGAGCTCCAGTCCTGACTCCACCACCACTATTCTGTGTGAACCCCATGGAGTAGCTTGACCTTTTTAGATTTCATTTTCTCATTCAAATGAGGGAATGTCACAAGATAACTGCTGAGGTGGTTCAGTATGCAAAAAAAGTTTATTGGTGTTTTCTGGAATCTGATAGGGTGGGGTGGAGCTATACAGAAATAGCTGAGGATCTCGGTGGCGAAGGGTAGAGGAAAGGTAATATTAGCCACAAGCTAGGCTACACCTCAGTGTTCAAAGCCTGTGGCTTGAGGGGCACTCGGCTGCTCAGGAGGGTGGGGAGAGCCAGCTTCCTCTTCCTGCAGCTTTGGGTTACTATTCACACTGCCCTCTCTCAGATGTGAGTTAGGGTGGAGGAATCAGTGTCCCTTGGAAAGAAAAGATTTAAGCAAAAAATACGATTGCGGTGGATGCTCATGAGCTGTGGTTAACTACTGAAAGGGGAGCTGGGCATCTCACACCTGCACAAGTTCCAGGGTTTAGAAACTTAGCCTCCTGGGTCTAGACTAGACACTTGATTTTCTCCGCTGGCCCAGGAAGAACGGATTCCTCGTAACTAAATTGCTCAGGGAAGGAACAGAAATCATGGGCCAATTGACAATGGGAATAGTAACTAGACAGAGAACTAAAATGGTAACAGCTGGTTATTACACTTCTCAGTTGGAAACTATACTAAGGAAACTCAGTTCACCTCAGAAGACTGCTCAGTGAAAACACTGGATGCTCTCAAACTGTGATCGCCCCCATGGCTACGGAAATATGTTCTGAGAAATAGATCAAGACTTCTGTATCGGTGTGTTACATAAACACGAATGCTTTTTGTTAACCAGCCCTTTTTTCTGCATTTCACATCAATCTCACACTCTGTCGTAACTGGTAAGTATCCTCTTTTTCTCCTCCCCAGTTCATTCTCTCAGGGCAGAGTGCCTACTGCCAATTCCTCTTGATATTCCGGGTGCCCATCCTTTTCCCCATAAAGATGGGCCCTTTCCTTTAAAAAACCATGAACTAAAACAATATCTAAGGATGTCAGTGCGAGCTCCTGAGAACTGTTAGTGAAAGCTCGTGAAAGTATTAAGTGGCTGTGGAAGAGGGACCTCTGGAGGCCACCAGCAGGAATGCCTCATCGCAAATGCCATCCTGTGACAGAACAGCTACAGACTATCCTCCATGTCATATGGAGGGCTCCGACACCACTGTGCTACAGGGGGAATCCAACTCCAACCACTGGGAAGTTACCAGTCAGCAAATAGCCTGGTGGGGGTGCCCTTCCATAGGCCCCCCAGGATATGAATCAGAGCAGAGGAGAAAACAAACTAACTAGCTGGTGAGCTGTCAAGCCGGGAGTGCTTGGGGCAAGTGGGATGACAGCAGATTAGGAGCAAAGCACTCGACAGCTGGTCCTGAGAGTTGGCTCATTCATATTTGCTTCCACATCCCTGAATAAATCACTAAGTCGTAATTAAATCACAGTAAGCAGAACTCCTCTCCTTCCCCTGCAGATGCCGACTTCCCCATGCAGACCAGCTGTTGGTAGTGGAGTCTGATTGATGGCTGAAATTCCAGTTTCTAATCTGAAAGATGTCTACGTGGAGCATGAAATCACCCTGGAGAAAGCTTAGGTTTCCAAGGCCTATGTACTCCTTTTGTACAAATTTGGCCCAGCTGCCTGAATGATAAATGGACATAAGATTGGGTGATTTCTACTAGATTGGGACAGGGGAGAATTGGAAGAAGTGGGCTCAACTGGCACTCAAAAATGTGGTACCATCTGGCCTTCCGAAAAGTCCAAACAGAATCTGAGTTGTGCGAGGTTCCAAGTTTACTCTCTGGCATGTTCCACGGCTGGACAATTCAACAGTAGAGAGAAACACACGCTGAGTTTGTGTGACTATAATACTAGAAGCGATCCTGTATAATAAAACCCTAATATGCAAATCGTCCAAACAGTGGAACACTGGTCACTATGATGCACACTGACCACCGGGGGGAAGATGCTCAATGCAGGAGCTGCCCCCTGGTGGTCAATGCGCTTCCACAGGGGGAGCTCCGCTCAGCCAGAAGCCGGCTCATGGCTGGCAAGCGCAGCGGTGGTGGTGGGAGCCTCTCCCGCCTCCACTGCCAGCGGGTGGTAAGGAGTGAGGGGTCCCGGACTGCGAGAGGGCGCAGGCCGGGCTGAGGTACCGCCCCAGTGCATGAAATTTTGTGCACCGGGCCTCTAGTATTACATAAAACTATTTACCACAGTAGCCAAACAGAAGAAAGGAGAGTTCTGAAGTGACAAGAGCCCACATATCCACATGGAATCAGAGAATCTTAGAATTGGGAGAGACCTCAGAGGAAATGTGAAACCCAGAGAGGTTAAATGATTTCCCCAGGGTCACAAAGCTAGCTGGTAGCAGCAGACCTAGGATCTAGGTCTCCTGACCTCCAACCCAGTGACCTTTCCCCCACACACACTGGGTCTACTTGATCCCTTATATGGACAATACTATTCTCCTCAGTGACTATTACCCTAAACAAGAGAAAGAGCTCAGAGGAGAGAAAAGCCAAATTGGGAAATCCTCAGTGCTAGTGAGGAGGGTTAAATAGCTGGGGGTTGTGAGGAGGCAGCTTTATAGTGTGACCACAGATCTATACAGTGGAAGACATAAGCATTTCCTTGTAACTTACTGACAATTTCACAGACAACTTGAAAGGTTTATTAAACTGCAACCCAATGAAAAGCATGTGAAATAAAGGTGGCCCTGGGAGCATTTCCCACAGCTGCCTCTGAGGCACAGACACAGCTATGGGCAGCATGACCCAGTTAGGAGCTGCCCGCCTCCTCCTGCACAAAGGTGTTTGGAGAGGTAATATGCCAAGTTGGGCTGACAGTCTCTAGCTGTGTGGCCATGTGATTATTCCCACAGTGGAGAGAATCAAAAGCTGGCTTGTGACTGCCAAGGTTACGTGAGGGGAGGCATTTCTGCTTCAGCCCTGGAAAGGCTTATGATGCAGATGTCTTAGTTTCTTCAGCCCATCCCTAGATGGTTTTGGGGGGAGGTGTGAGGACAGAGGGAAGGATTTTCACTTAAAGGGTATTTGTCCTTTCTCTTTATTTTTTAACATATATTTTTATTGATTTCAGAGAGAGGAAGTGAGAGAGAGAGATAGAAACATCAATGACGAGAGAGAATCATCGATCAGCTGACTTCTGCACGCTCCCTACCAGGGATCCAGCCTGCAACCCGGGCATGTGCCCTGACCGGGAATTGAACCGTGACCTTCTGATTCATAGGTCAATGCTCAACCACTGAGCCAAATTGGCTGGGCGGTCCTTTCTTTTTTTTAATCTTCTTCCTCCAGGATACTTTGGCTAATATAACACACACCTGATTTGGGCGTGGGGTAGAAGATAGCATTTAGGAGAACTGGCGATTTAAGAAGCCAGGAGGAATACAGTACACTGATAATGACAATTATAACCGTCCTCGTTCTGCACGGTGCTTTCGAGCCACAGGCAGGTTGACCCTCTGTGCTCAGGCTGCCAAAGGTGAGGGAGGTCCGGGCTCCTAAACACTGTGCATGCTGAGGAGAAAACCTGCAGTCAGGTTTCTGAACCTCAAGCTGATGCTTCAATGGCCTTACTTGCTTAGCACCATTAGGTAGTCAGTGATTCCAGCTGACACCAAGATCAAGAGGGTGATCCAATTTAGTGGGGAAATCTTTGTGACCTTTTGGTGCAAGGGACGATGCTCAACCAACTGAGCTACACGGGCCAGGGCAACAGTTTCTTTTTAACAGCTGCATAGTATTTTACCAACAGGATGTATTATTATTTATTTCACCAATTTTTAGTTTATTCTAACCTCAATCTTGAAGAGAAAGTACTTTTTATCCCCCGTTTTACAAAATTACTCCCTTGTGGTCTATAGTTGTCAACTTCAAACAGAGTCTGAATCTCTGACAGCTAAAGTGAGAGCAAATGACATATTTAAAGTCAGTTTGCTGAAGTTATATGAAGGCTAAATACTCTTCACATTTATAAGTATCTTATGAAAGCTTCAGAAGCTTTGAAGAGTAGTAAACCTTGAAATCCCCAAAGAAGCA